GAACTCAATTGGAAGAGGAAGCAAGGGAATGGTTCCCCGCCCGTGCATGACCAAAACAAGTTAAAGGCTAAAGGATACTAGTGAGATCTAGAAGGCATAACACAGTTTTTCGGTTTTCAGTTCGGCTGAACTCTCTTGTAAACCCGATTAAAATTTTTGATTGTGGTGGAGCTATCGGGGGGGTGTTCAAGCTGTTGAAAAGTCAATGGTGTTTTTGGCCTAGGGTTCGGGGTGGGATTGAGGTTTAGGCTTGGGTTTCGGGTTGCAATTGAGTTTCTTTTGAGGCCGGACTCCTAGAGTTTTCTTGGACACAATTTCTGCAAGTGCTGTCCGACCCAGGCGAAGTGAGAAGCCTGTTGCAACAGCACGGTTGCGGGTTTAGGGTTAGTAACTCGTGCTTGTAGCAGACAGAGAAGCCCCCTCTGCTACAATTCGAGCTGGGGGGTTTCCCCAAATGAGGGTACCAATGTAAACCTATTTTTGGAGATCCGCCCAAAAGGGGATGATCTTATATTTGCGCCCTATGTTTAAGAGATGCCCAGTTGTGAGCCCCTAACCCCTAAACCCTAAACCCTAAACCCTAAACCCTAAACCCAAGGAGATCAACCACTCGGCGACCTGCTGGCTTCCATGCCCGGAAACCGACTCCTCCGACTACCCCCGCGAGCGGTGTGCCTAGGATCCGGGCTGGTTAGGGTTTAGGGTTTAGGGTTTTAGGGTTTCGGGTTTAGGGTTTCGTGTTTCGGGTTTCGGGTTCAGGGTTTAGGCTTTAGGGTTTCGCGTTTCGGGTTTCGGGTTGGGGTTTGGGGTTTCGGGTTTCGGGTTTGGGGTGTAGGCTTTCGGGCTCAGAGCCTGGGTTCAAGAAAAAAAGAAAAAAGGGTTTAGGGTTTGGGGTGTAGGGTTTAGGGCTTGGGGGGGCACTCGGCAGGTTTCGGCGCTGATGGATTTTGCATTCTGCCCTCGAGTCTTGGGATGTTCGAGGAAGGTGATTAAGTTCCAATCTTCATCCGCATCTGGCTTAAGGTGAAGCACATGTGCCTAAGCTCACAAGTTTCAATGGGCCAGCGACGTCCCGGCGACCCCTAAACAAAACCACTCCGGTGCGCTCCAACCTCGCGGGGCCTTGCTGTTGAGATCCCCAGCCTCCAAACTTTCGCAGACTCACAGAGAAGGTGAGTTTGAGACACTGGCCCACCTAGAGAGTACTTTTTGGGTTTAGGGGTTAAGAGGCCTAAGCAACCACGTCCCCAAGAGTCCCCAGCTACCTAGCCCGAATTTAGCCCTGAGCTCGTCCACCATGGGCTCTGGCGCCTCATCGCCTGAGCCCCCGGCCCAGATAGAGGTGGGGCCAGTTCCGGTGGCGGGAGGGGGGGAACAGGGGACTTTTTGATAGGAGCCTTCAGGGGTAACTAAGCAAACTAACCGCCCTTGCCACCCGTTGGCCGGTCATGGTGCCATAGAGTCCTATGGCGCGCTGCACGTAGCTGTGCCCGGGGGATACGTTTGAGAACGTGTTGTGTGAGAGATAGCAGGTATAGCGCATGAGAGGTGTGAGGGAAAAGCTGCCCGAAGACTGCGACCGCCACACGGTCGCCTTATCGCCTGGCCAGTTAAGAATTCCCCTTGAATTGTTTAGGACGTATATGATGTATATGGTAGTGCTCTGAAGATCTGCCATGAACAGCCAGCTGATCCAGATGCCTTTTTCGGAGGTTTGGCTCCAGCAAGTTATCGAGAAGGACGCCGCCTGCACCCTCCAGCCTGCTCCACTGTACAAGACTTGGTAGCCCGGTGGTACCCTTTACCCTTGTTTTTGGTCCTGAGTTCCCTTATAAAGTAACCAACCCCAAAAAGGGGTGCCCTTATTATAATATGCTTACTGGGCTGCTAAGAAGAGAAGAGACATGAGAACTCCGAGTCGCAGCAAGCAGCAGCAGCAGCAGCAGCAGCAGCAGCAGCAGCAGCAGCAGCAGCAGCAGCAGCAAGGGAACTGGGCTGAAGCGGAGCAAGCTGTCAGCACGAGGTTCCCGATAGAAGGTGTTTCATCTCGCGCTTTTCGTAGCTGCCGGCACCTAACCAACCTAGGTGCCCAGAATCGTACAATGCTGACACCTGGACCACAAGCCTCCTTGTACATGCTTGAGCCACCGGCAGCGCGGAGGAGCGGAAAGAGAAAGCGTGGCTCGCGACGAGATACGACGAGGAGAAGGAGAAGGCCGAAGCAGCCGCAGAGCCAAGCCATGAAGCTACGCATATCTGAGACTTCGGCAGGGCTTGTGACGACTTGTCGTTGCATGTCTACATAGCGTTCCGGAGCTCAGATCAGATGCGCTCATTCCTGCGTTGTGTTTGGCCCTGAACCCTGAACCCTGAACCCTGAACCCTGAACCCCAAACCCCAAACCCCAAACCCCAAACCCCAAACCCTAAACCCAAACCCTAAACCCTATAAACCCTTAGGAGGTTGGCTTTGGGTTTGCCAGGCAGACCAGCTCCGGTCAGAGCTGGGCGCCCTCCGTGGCCTCCTTGCAGGCAGGGCATCCTCTATGCCCCCACTTAAGGGTTTAGGGTTTCGGGTTTAGGGTTTAGGGTTTAGGGCTTAGGGTTTAGGGCTTAGGGGTTAGGGCCAAGTTTAGGGCTTAGGGTTTAGGGTTTAGGGCTTAGGGTTTTTGAAGGTTTGTGGGTCTTGTGCTTCGGGTCATGGGCATCATGAAGAGGGGCGCAGTTTGCTTGCTCATGGGCTCTTCGGTTTTTGCATGTTTGTTTTGTGTTTGAGACTGACTCGACAGGCATGCAGCGGGGGGGGGGGGGGGGGCTGAGGTCCAAGTGTGGTTGCGGACAGTTTTCTTGTGGGGCTGTCTTGGGCATTCTCTGAGATACCTCTACGCAATTCCATGAAGCTTAATGCGCCGAAACCCTGAAAGCCCACCCTCTGATGTCTGTAGCGCACACACACACTCCCTTGTACTCCCTTACAAGATGCCTAGAACAAGAACAGTTCCCCCCCCCCCCCCCCCCCCCAACCCTAAACCCTAAACCCCCCCCCCCCCCCCCCCCCAAGATCCCTCAAGGTGCTGACTCGACAGATGCCAACGAACCAGCCGGCGCGAGGCAGAGCTGGGGCTAGTGGCTCTAGCTGGCCTCAACATGTCCCGAGCCTTAGGGGACCAGCTGAACCCTAGAGGGTTTATGGTTCATAGACTTATAGTAGCATAGACCTTATGTAGGGAGTATACTATCACATTATCTTTAATCCCATACCTATATTATAGGGAGTATAGTCGTAGGCGATGTGATCCGGTTTGGGCTCATCTTGGTCCCCAAGGAGAAGTCAACGAATCCTTCGGCTCGAATTAGGTCTTTTTGTGCATCGTGTTATTTGAGGTCAGCTCTGCAACCCGTAACCTCAATGTTTAGGATTTGGGTGTCGGGGTCTAGCACAAGTAGACGAGAGTGGCCTTGGGACTTCTTAACTCCTAGACTCTGGACCCCATCCCCTTCCACTGCTGGGCTCCCCCCCACCCTCCCCAAGAATTTAAGACTGCCGCACTGGAGCAGAACATCCCTGCACTCATGGCTGAGGCACTACTCTCTGCACAGCATGCAAATACATGTCGGGCTATTGGGCCTAGTGCACGCTTGAAAAGTGGAGGCCGTGATGTTTCACCATGGCTGGTTCGTCACTGGCCTGTGTCCTGCATGGCTTGTCCGAGCGCGAGCGATTTGTTTTAAACCCCATCCCTAGACCACAAACCATAAGCGGAGAGGGCACCTCATGTGGGTGTGTGCAGTGCGGGTGGCAACAAAAACCACAAGCCCAAAACCCCAAGCCCCAAATACCACAAGCCTTGAACCCTGAACCCTGAACCCTACCCAAGCCGAAGATGGTGCTGCAGAAGCCTTACCCAAACCGAGAAAGCAAAACATCCAGGCTTACCCTAAACCCTAAACCCTAAACCCTAAACCTCCAGGCTCACGCCGAATCGCGGCCTGCAGCCAGGCCTCTCGGGGGTTGATGGTTTAGGGCTTTAGGGCTTTAGGGCTTTAGGGCTCTAAGGTTTCAGGGGTTTAGGGTTTTAGGGTTTAAGGGTTTAAGGGTTGAAGGTTAGGGCTTTAGGACTTTAAGGCTAGTTATCTGTTTCTTTGCAGAGTTCGGAGTGGAGGATTTGGGTTTAGGGCTTAGGGTTTAGGGTTCACAAAGGGTTTAGGTTCATGGGGCCTCCAGTTTGGGGGGGTTCCCTGCATTTAGCCTGGGGTTTTGTGGGGTCTTCAGGAAATGCAGGGGGCGCCGTTTAGGGGGCCTTTCGGGCCTTCCATGAAAAGGGTGTGTATGGCCGAAGCAGGAAAACTTAGGTCTAGGGTAGGGCTTCTTGGGTTTCTAGCTTTCTTTGTTGGTTGTTTCTGCGGGGGGAGTTTGGAGTTGCGGAGCTGCGGTGTATCGGGCTTAGCACCAGAATCCCTTGGAAGTACAACGTCTTAAAGCCTTTGACCCTAGCCATTAAAGCCCTACCCTGCAATACCCCAAAACGCCTTTGAAGATCCTCATACTTCCCATAAAAGCCCTGCAAGGCCCTGTAACAACCACTTGAGGTGTATGGATGCATTTCCTCTCTCTCTCTCTCTCTCCCTCTCTCTGACGCGACCGCATGACTGTGCGTGCGCCCCTGCAGCGCGGTCACTGACCAGCCGACCGTCGCAACCTGCTGGGGTAAGACACCCTACGCCTCCAGTGCGATGCGCCCTATGCGTGAGCGAACATACGCCCCCGCAGTCCCAGAAACGCTGATATCCACAGTACTTGTTGGATGCATCGCTTCAACATTGCCTGTTGGCGTAAGGTTCAGGGTACGGTTCTTCTGGCATTGGGAACTTCAGGGCTGCAGGGTACTTCCGGCAGTGTCGTGTATCCTGCGATGCGATGCTGTCTTGTCGTATTTCTTGCCCGGAGAGATGTAGGCATAGGTCCGGCTCTGGATTTCCCGGGCCTTTGTCAACGCGCCCATGTGTTCCGTGTACTCTGCCCTAACAGGTGAGGTCCTTCTTGTGGTGGATGACTATGAAGGGAAAACCGCAAAGGAAATGAAGCAGTCTGTTGCAGCTCAGATTGGCATACCCAGATTCCGGCAGAGGTTTTTCTCTGAAGAGGCTCACGAAATAAAGGATGACCAGATTTTTGCCAGCGAGCCTGTGGACGTCCAGCTGACCGTTTTGGAACTAAGGCCACCAGACATTGAGGAAGACCAAAAGTTGATAGTGGCATCCAAGGGCAATGACTCAGGGGCTGTGGAAGAGATGCTTCAGTGCCTGCGAAGCCCGAATGTGGCAGATGCAGATGGCAGAACTCCCCTGCATCACGCGGCTGCCAACGGTTCGGTGGAGCCAGCGCGGCTCATACTTGAAGCAGGTGCAGCGAGAGATGCTCGAGACACAACACCTGCTGGCTGTACGCCATTGCATTGGGCAGCTGCGCGAGGTCATACGGACACTGTTGCCTTGTTGCTTGAAGCAAGGGCTGGTGTGGATGCAGCCACACTTGACTTTGGAGAAACGCCGTTGTTTGCTGCGGTGCATCAAGGCCATGTGGAAGTTGTTCGTTTGCTGACCCAGGGTGGCGCTGACGTCAACAGAGCCACAACAGATGATGGATCAACTTCTTTGTTCTTCGCAGCCTATGAGGGCCATGTGGAAGTTGCCCGCTTGCTGCTAGAGGCCGGCTGTGACATCAACAAAGCCAGAAGAGACGACGGAGCGACGCCACTGCACGTCGCAGCTGAGTTGTGCCACGTGGAAGTTGTTCGTTTGCTGATTCAGGGGGGTGCAGACATCAACAAAGCCCGAACACATGATGGAGTGACACCATTGCTCATGGCAGCTCAGAAGGGTCATGTGGAAGTTGTTCGCTCGCTGTCATCCGCGGCTGGTGCTGACATCAACAAAGCCAGAACAAATGATGGAGCAACACCGTTGTTCATGGCTGCTTGGAAGGGTCATGTGGAGGTTGTCCGCTTGCTGATCCGCGCTGGCGCTGACGTCAACAAAGACAGAACGAAGGATGGAACCACACCGTTGCTAGGTAGCCCCTTGGAACATGTTGCATTTTCCCCTATTGGGCTGAAGAGGATCATGTCCGGGAATATGTTTCAGAGGGCTTTTTTTGGGGCCATCTTAGGTTGAACATCGCAGTTTTTGAGGGCCACGAGGACATTGTTCAAATGCTCAAGGAGGCTGGTGCCATGAGCGATGGCGATTGACGGTGAGCCTTGCGCCTGAAGCCTTCGTGGTAGCCCAGTGGTGCCCTTTAGGGTTTAGAGTTTAGGGTTTAGGGTTTAGGGTTTAGGGTTTACCCGGTTTTTGGTTGCTTATGGGTTCCCTCATAAAAGTAACCAACACCACAAAGGGTGCCCTTATTATAATATGTTGAGATGTTCCCACTTAGAGCAGTGCCTAATGGGGATTCTCATGTGGGGGGGGGGGGGGGGGGGGGGGTGCCAATAATTTCAAACAGGACCGTCAGAAAAAGGGGGAACATCCCAAATAATACGGTCACTGGGCTACCCAGAGCCGGTTTGCCCAGCCTTTTCAGCTTCGTCCGCGACTTGGGACAAAAGGTGCCGTCGATGTGGCCTCACAGTGGGTACTGTAATTGCCGTACCCTAAACCCGGAACCCTAAATCCTAAACCCTAAACCCTTTAAGGTTTGCAGGGTTATTTCCTGATTTTCCCATATACGTAGGGGCCGGCGTGCCCGAAGCTTGGTTGAGGGTTTAGGGTATAAGGTTTAGGGTTTAGAAGGTTTCGGGTTTAGGGTTTAGGGTTTAGGGCTCAGGTTTCTCAAAAAGACGTGTTCAGTCATTCCCAACGGCACACTGTTTAGGGTCTATAAGTTTCGGGCCATAAAAAAGCGCAGGCATCATGCAGAAAGTGGCGAATGATGTCCACGTCATGTCGACGACAGATGACTTGGCACCTGCCTTGGTTATCTTCGGACATCTGCAGCCCTTAGCAACTTTGTAAGGAAGTAGGGCCTACAGGGATCCTAAAAAAGGGTTGTGGGCCCGGTTTAGTATTATCTCTCCCCCGCCAGCCCCAAGAAACAAGCAAACTAAGGTAGAGGTTTTAGGTTCAGACTTCAGGGTTTTAAGGCAAGCCTTTCTTTCTGGCCATTAGAACGCCTACCCTAAAGCGAGTCAGAATGCCGCCGTGGGCTACTTGTCGCATTTGTTTGCTTTCTCGCCCAAAAGACTGATTACCCAAGAACAGCATCGACAATGGGGAAGCAGCAAGAGGTCAGCTACTGCACCCTGAGCCCCATATGCGCATGTATGTTGTTTCGGTAGCACGTGCTATGTTCCCTGCAGTGTGACGCTGAGTCTGCTGCGGGAAGATATACTATACTAGATGCTCCCCCGAGGGGCCGAAGCTGGCTCGACGGGTCTCGCCCCTTGGCGAGATTGGCTTGCGGGCTGTATTGTTTCGGCCAGGTTTTCAGGTTGTGAGGGTTTAGGGTTTAGGAGCAGAGAGAGAGGGTTTAGGGTTCAGGGTTTAGGGTTGTGGGTTTAGGGTTTGGGGTTTAGGGTTTAGGGTTGCTTAACGTTGCGCCTCTCTGACTGAAGATCCGTGCACCCTGAAGCCTCCGAGTGACGAGACCAAGGTTGCTTGTTGTGTGGGTGTTTCTCTCAATCTCACTCCCATGCACCCCCCCCCCCCCTCCCACTGCTTGGGTTTAGGGTTTAGGGTTTAGGGTTTAGGGTTTAGGGTTTAGGGTTTAGGGTTTAGGGTTTAGGGTTTAGGGTTTAGGGTTTAGGGTTTAGGGAGCTATCGAACCCCAAGTTCTCCATGCCTTGCCCTCTGCAGCAAAAAACCGGCTTTCAAGCCCCTAAGCCCTGGCGCAAATCCTTACAAACTCTAAACATCCCTAAGCCCCAAACTCCCTTCGAGTAGAGTAGTCTGACTGACCAACGTGACCCACGAACCTTGCCAGCCTCGTGCGAGAGTCAGCGACTAAACTCCTTTCGACTCTAGAGTGTATGGGGAGGGTTTAGGGTTTAGGGTTTAGGGTTTAGGGTTTAGGGTCCTTTGTGTTTGGCAAGCTACCTGCCAGGAACTCTAGGAGGTGAGCCCCTGCCCAGCCGAGGATCAACAGCCGCCCAAGCTTCCAGTCGCTGCCCAGCTCCCCCTCAGTCAATGAGGGCTGACCACGCAGCGCTCGCGTGGCTCACATGGCATCCAGCATGGCTGTCAAGTCACTGCCGAAGTTCAGCCTGAGTCCTCTTCGGGACGCAAACTTGGGCCGACCATGGTAATTAAGGGTCATGTCATGCACGTGCCCCGGCCACTCACCTCCAATTCTTCAGGGTTTTGGCAAGTTTGGGGTTTCAGGGCAGGGTTAGTAGGCTTTTGCGGTGCAGGTTCTGTTGCCGACCTCCACAGCTGCAAGAATATTTTTGCTGTGGCCGGGAGTTCTGAGAGTGGTGTCGAGGTTGTACAAGTTTTGGTAAAGCTTCAGACTTACGGCGTTCCGGATAGGGTCTCGTTTTAAGTTAGTACTGGATGCAGATTTAGACTCTGCAGTCCGTTGTAAATCATGTTTCACATGAACCCTAAACCCTAAAATCCTAGAACCCTCGAAGTGAAGCCCGGGTTGGGTGTGCATTGACGACCCTTGAACCAGCTGCAAGGGCATGGCCCGACACTGCCAGTGGGTTCCGCGATGTCCACGGAAAGTCGCAAAGGCTACCCCCCAAAACCACAAGTGGGTTTAGGGTTTAGGGTTTAGGGTTAGGGTTTAGGGAAGGCAGGAACCCCAGAAGCCCGAAAAGCCGCCAAAAAAAAACATCCGGAGAGCCTTTGGGGAACCCGCCGATGCCCCCAAGTGTTCCAGGCACCTGGGGAGCCTGAGTGGCCAAGGCTACCGGCTTGACCGGACCGGCATATCGAGGTAGTATCTATACAGAAGGGTGCGCTGTGGGGCCTGCGTTTTTGAAACGCTCTTCGTTGAAGATTCCGTTGTTTGAGGTTGGATGGGCGAAGTTAAGTAGTTGAACTATACTAAGGTTAGATGGGCGTGGTTGACTGTCATACGTTACTGGTTAGGTAAGGTTAACTTGATTTCTTATGGTTCATTTTTATAGAGTTTTTTGTGTAAAGGAAGGGTTTGCTTATAAGCAGTTGGCTTGCTTATAAGCATTGATTCTTTGGGGGTGGGGGGGGAGGGGGGGGGCTCTTCGTTGAAGATTCCGTTGTTTGAGGTTGGATGGGCGAAGTTAAGTAGTTGAACTATACTAAGGTAGATGGGCGTGGTTGACTGTCACACGTTACATGGTTCATTTTTAGGGGGTGGGGGGGGGGGGGAGGGGGGGGGGGGGGGAGGGGGGGGGGGGGGGAGGGGGGGGAGAGGGGGGGGGGAGAGGGGGGGGGGGAGAGGGGGGGGGGGAGAGGGGGGGGGGGTCTTGGGTGTTGAGGTGACAAGCAAGACCGAACTCCATTGAAATTTTAAAGGTTTCAAGGTTTTAAAGCCTTTAAATTCCTTTAAAACCTTTAAAATTTAAATGGAAGTCCAATTAAATTTTACAGGGCGCGGGCCCCCTTTAAAATCTTTAAAATCATTAAAATCTTCAAAATCTTTAAAATTTAATTGGACCTCCATTTAAATTTAGAAAATGGGACGCTGTGGGAGTGCACTTTTTCCACAAAAAAAAACACGCAAAACTTCAAAAAACCCTAAAAACATACGAAAAACGTGCAACAAGAAATAAACTACACAAAATCCCTACAAACAAAAATAATGAAAAAGAAACAAGAAAACAAAAAAAAAAAAACAAAAACAATCCTGAGGGACTCTGTTGGGGAGCCGGACCCCTGGGAAGAGTCTCTCAGGATTGGTTTTTTGGTTTTTTGGGTTTTTGGTTTTTTGGGGATTCTAGTCCAAGAGAACCAAAAAAACCAAAAAAGCCAAAAAAACCAATCCTGAGGGACTCTGTTGGGGAGCCGGACCCCTGGGAAGAGTCTCTCAGGATTGGTTTTTTTGGTTTTTTTGGTTTTTTTGGTTTTTTGGTTTTTTGGGGATTCTTGTCCAAGAGAACCAAAAAAACCAAAAAAACCAAAAAAACCAATCCTGAGGGACTCTGTTGGGGAGCCGGACCCCTGGGAAGAGTCTCTCAGGATTGGTGTTTTTGTTTTTTTGGTGTTTTTGTTTTTTTGGTTTTTTGTTTTTTCGAGGATTTTTGTGTATTATTGGAGATTTTGCTGTACCATTTTCTTTTTTACGGTTTTTCGGTGTCTTCTGAAGGTTGTTTTTTGGTTTTTCTTTAGGCTTTTAGGTGTTATTTCATTTTTGTACGCTTTTTTTGTACAGTTGTTTTTGGTATTTGTGTTTTATGTGTGTTTTATATTTCTGAGTGCCCTTTTGTAACGAACATTGATATATTATCCATGAATTTCGTGCTCCCAGCCACATGGTTTGAAAAGCATGGATTTTTTGGAAAACATTGGCTGTACCGACGTTTTTTCGGCTCCATCCTTCAAAAAATGGTAAAACCAATGTTATCCATGAATTTCGTGCTCGCGGCTACATGGTTTGAAAATCCTGGATTTTTGGAAAACGTCGGTTTTACCAATGTTTTTCGGCTCCATCTTTCAACAACATTGGTAGAACCAATGTTTTCCATGAATTTCGTGATCTGAGGCGCTCTCCCAGCCACCATTTCTCGAGGAGGTACCAAAAAACAAACTCGAATCCTGCAAAATCTCGAGAGAGTACCAAAACCTCCATATAATCAATCGCGCCCCAATACGCAAGGCATGACATCTATCCTAAAAACTATACCTTAGCTAGGATGAGTCAAGCAATCATCCCCAATAAGCAAAACCTAATATCTATATTAAACACTGTACCTTCGCAACATATTTTAAGACATCACGCCCTAAGGCTCCTACTAATGTAATAAGGTTCCTATCAATTTAAACAGGGTTCTTATTCATGTTACTGGGATTCGCAAAGGGTTTTAATTAATTTTAAGGATTAGGCTCATAGTTTAGCAGGGTTCCTATTAGTTCTTGTACAAGGATTCTATTGTTTTGCAGGCCTATTGGTTCCCATTCATTTTGGTAAGATTCCTTCTCGTTCTAATAGGATTCCTGTGAATTGTAACCCGGGTTCTTTTTGATTTGTCAACGGTTCCTATTCATTTTAATAGGCTTCCGTCCTATTAACTGTTATCCGGTTCCGATAATTCAATAGAGGATCTTAATT